GAGACCTGAGTGTGTGTGTTGGCCGACTTTCCATTACTATAACAAATACCTGAAATAATCATCTTTTAAAAAATCAAGGCATATTTTGGCTCACAGTTTTGAATTTCCAGTGTACGGTCCATTGGTCCCATGGCTTTGAGGCTGCTCACGAGGCATTACACTATGATAGAAGCACATGGCCAGGAAGGCCTCACCTCACAGCAGCTGGGAAGCAAACAAACAGAGAGAAAGAGGCTGGGTTCCAATGTTCCTTCTAAGGGAGGGCAGAGCCCTAGTGACCTAACTTCCTCTACCAGGCCCCACCTCTTAAAGGCTCTGTCACTTCCCAGCACTGCAATCAAGCCTTTAACACCTGGGTCTTTGGAGAACATTCAAGATTCCAACTACAGCAATTGGTGTGGGATTATACAACCTTGAATCATGTGGTATAATTCTAAGATCAAGGTGTCAGTGGGTGGTATTCCTTCTGGAGATTTCAGGACGTTATCCATTTCCCTGCCTTTTCCAGCTTCTGGAGACTCTGTGCATTTCCTGGTTCCTAGCTGCTCACTCTAACCCTGAGTTTCATTACAGTTTTTCTTTTCTTACTTTGACCTTCTTGTCTCCATCTTACAATGTCCTTTGTGATTACTTTCGGGCCACCAGATAATACAGAATAAACTTACCACATCAAGATCCCTAACTTAAATCAGTAAAGTGCCTTTTATACATAATGTTTTATACACACAAACATGCACAATACACACAGGCATATACTCAAATATATGATATACATGCATATGTAAAATTAAATATGTATGTTCACAGGTAAATAGACATATAAATTTAGAGGAAATAAACAATATCCTGGAAAAATATACTGAATTTGGTACTAAAAAGAAACTCCATAGGTAATTTTTTTTCAAACCTGTGTGGTAAGTGTAGGTATTATATATTTTTTTCTGTATAATTTTGTAGGTCTGATTTTTTTGTGATAAATATACAATAGCATGAAGAATAAAGAAAAATGGACAAGATAAACTATAACAAAACTAAAAGCAACAGCTGAAATCACTGAAGCCTGTAAAGCACAGAATTGCATAAAGCATGTGAGTTATCCTGAGAAATAATTTGATTACCAAGCCCATAAGTCAGAGAACAAACCAAAGACATAAAACTAATGCCAGAGAAGATGCCAGACATCGAGAAAAACACATATAGTAATAGAGTTTCTTTGACTAAATTAAAAACAGGGACAAAAACAAAGAAATAGATACACCAATATTGAAAGGCAAAATAGAGGAAAACTTGATTTTTAAAAGTCCTGTAAATGTGGATAAAAAGGACTCTCTGAAAAATTAAAATCAAGGGAGGTGCATTTGTGAACATATTCTTACTAATTTTTTTAAATTATAGGGATGAAACATAACAAAGCCAAAATAACATAAAACAAGCATATGAGCAAAGAAGTAGTAATTTTTTAAAAACCACAATAGGTTACTGGCAAATATGTAAAAACTAAGGTGACTTCAGACCTCTTTGTGATGCTAAATTCCAGAAGACAAAAAGGAAACATCTCCAAAACTTAGTGATGAGAAGATGTTTTTATTTATTTATTTATTTAATTTATTTTTTGACCCTTTGTGTAAAGACAAACAAAGAACATTGTCAGGCACACAGAGACACAGATAATATTCAACACATCTTCCTTCTGAAGAAAATTACTTGACACATCTATCAAACACTAAGATGTATATCACAAAAGTGGGAAAATATATGAAAAGCTGATAAACGTAAATATTGGTGGAAATGCAGATATGCATTATAGTAATACTCAAAAAACCAAAGATATTTAGTACCAAACTATTCTTAATAACACTTGCATTTTCACTTTCCATCATTCATATTTTTATAATATGGATAAGTATTTCATTATAACTTATAAACAATCTTGTTTCCACATACACCTGTGGCAAGTCTTCTTCGGCTCCATCCCATTACTGATTTATTGGCATCTGGCTTTGGAATTCAGAGCTTCTGCAACCCACTCTGTTGATCTCTTGCTCTCCAGAGTCCAGGACCAGGTGTTCATTAGGTTTAGCAGAGTTTCTAGGGATCTTTTCTTTGTGGGAGAGGAAAATGACAGGACATGAAAGGTATTTTTTTAAAGGATTTATTATGAAGTTTATTAATACTGTAGAGTATTCCAAATTAATAGCTGTTTCCAACTAGTTGACAGGTTGGGTTAAGAAAACAACTCACATACTAATTAGAAAGGTAAACGTAGAAAGTGCTGAAAGAAAGAAGGCTTGACCCAGAGTTTTTGATCAGTGGAACATCAAGGCATTCTAGTTAGAAATGGGATGAAGGGGCGGGCACTATGAGATTTTCTTGAAGTTGCATTCTACACAAAGTGTGCTGCTTTAGTAGTAGTTGCTTTTTTTTTTTTGGTATCTATAGCAATAAAAATAGAAAAAATATTTATTGGTACTTTTAGTTATACTTTATATAGGATTTTTAACAATCTCTTAATATTATTGTTATTATTACCATTACTATCATTTTCATTTAGGTCAGTACTGCAGGAGATGTGATGATAATTATGGAAGTTTCAATGGGGCTAAAGTCTTGTTGCACTTTGACACTGGTTAGGGGATATATTTTTCAATCTATCCAAGTTTGAATGCCAGTAATCCATTTCCACCCTATCCCCACGCACTTCTTTTTTATTGATTTAGTTTTTAAATTGGTGCATTGTAGTTATACATAAAAATGGAGCTCACTGTGACATGTTCCCATCCCTCCCGCCTCGGATCCCCTTCCCTTACCCCTTTGTTCTCCCATCTGTTTTCATGAGATCCCCCCCATCTTTTAAAAATTCCTTATTATACGCTCAATTCCACATATAATAGGAAACATTTGACCAAAAATTGACTTTCTTTTTTTTCCCCTTTACTAGAGCATTATAGGTATATATAGTGGTTGAGTTCATCCTGACAAAATCATACACGCATGGAATTTGATTTCAGTTTCATGATCCCACCTTTTCCCTCTTCTCCTCCCGCCCCTCCTTGGTTCTTCTTCCTTTACTAGACCTTTCATTCTATTTTCATCTGTTTATTTAGTTTTTATTGATTCTTTTTACTTATACCTAAATGTGAAATTCTCTGTGGTATATTTATATATATATATGATTTTTTTGAGATTTATTCCTCATTGTCTCTCCTTTCCTACCCCTCCACTCTGCCTCCCAATCTCTTTCTTTTACACTACTGATCTTCCATATATATTTATAATATTCTATCCTTCCCTTTATTTTACTCTAGTTTCAACATATGAGAGAAAACATTCAACCTTTGATTTTCTGAATCTGGCTTATTTCACTAAGCATTTCTATTCATTTACCAGCAAATGTCATCATTTCATTCATCTTTGTGGCTGAGTAGAACTCCTTTGTGTACATATACCACAGTTTCTTAATCCATTCATCTATTAAGGGGCATCTGGGTTGATTCCACAATTCACAATTGTGAATGCTGCTATTTACATTGAGGTGGCTGTATTGCTATAGTATACTGATTTCCATTCTTTTGGAAAAATACCGAGGAGTGGGATAGCTGGGCCACATTGTGGTTCCATTCTTAGTTTCTAAGGAACCTCCATACTGCTTTCCAGATCGGTTGTAATAATCTGCAGTTCCACTAGCAACATATAAGTGTTCTTTCCCCCGACATTCTCATCAGCATTTATTGTTGTTTGTAATCTTGATCGTTGCCATTTTAACTGGAGTGAGATGAAATCTTAGTGCAGTTTTGATTTGATTTTTATTTTTGATGACTGTCATTCTAACTAACAGAGATGAAACCTAATGTAATTTTGATGCTCATTTCCCTGATTGCCAAGAATTTGAACATTTTTCATGTATTTATTGGCAATTTGCATTTTTTCTTTTGAGAAATGTCTGTTTAGTTCATTTGCCTACTTATTGCTTGGGTTATTTGGATTTTTGGTGTTAAGTTTTTTAAGTTCTTTGTATATCCTGGTTATTAACCTCCTTTCAGAAGAGTAGCTAGCCAAGATTTTCTTCCATTTTGTTGGCTTTCTCTTCATGCTCTTAATTTTTTTCCTTTGCTGTGCATAAGTTTTTTAGTTTGAAGTCATCTCACGTATTGATTTTTAATTTTATTTCTTAAAATTTAGGAGTCTTATTTTTTTAAGAGAGAGAGAATTTTTATTTATTTATTTTTTATTTATTTTATTTTATTTTTTTAAAGAGAGAGTGAGAGAGAGAGAGGGAAAGAGAGAGAGAGATTTTTTTTAATATTTATTTTTTAGTTTTCGGTGGTCACAACATCTTTGTTTGTATGTGGTGCTGAGGATCTAACCCGGGCCGTACGGATGCCAGGCGAGCATGCTACCGCCTGAGCCACATCCCCAGCCCATAGGAGTCTTATTAAGAAAGTTGATGCTTACATCAATATATTGGAGTGCTGATCCCATGTTTTTTCTAGCAGTTGCAGTGTTTCTTACCGAATTCCTAGGTTTTTAACTTACTTTGACTTGATTTTTGTACAGAGTGAGAGAGGGATCTACTTTTTCTATATATGTACATTCAATTTTCCTAGCATCATTTGTTAGAGATGCTATTTTTTCTCCAATGTATGTTTTTGGCAACTTTGCAAAGGATCAGATGACTGTATCTATGTAGATTTATGTCTGTGTTTTTTATCTTATTTAATTGGTATCTATGTCTATTCTTATGTCCAAACCGTGCTGGTTATTGTAACTATAACTTAGAAGTATGATTTGAGATCAAGTATTATGATTCACCCAGCATCATTCTTATTGTTCAGTATTGCTTTGGCTATTCCAGGCCTTTTATCCTTACACATGATTTTTAGGATTTTTTCCTACTTCTGTGAAGAATGTCATTGGGATTTTTATGGGGATCACAATGAATTTGTGTATTGCTTTTGCTCAATATGACCATTTTGACACGTGATTTCTGCCTATTCAAGAGCATGGTAGGTATTTCCATCTCTTAAGGTCTTTTTCAATTTCTTTCTTCAGTGTTCTGTAATTTTAACTGTAGAGATATTTCATCTCCTTGATTATACTTATTCCCAAGCATTTTTAGGTTGTCATAAATTGAATTATGTTGGAGTATAAGTTTTCAAAATAGTTTCTTACAGTCTTCTAAATTTCAGCGATTGTGGTTACAGTTGTGGTTACAGCTCCCTTTTCATGTGTAATTTTTTAAATTTGGGTCTTATATCTTTCTTTTGGTTAGTTTGGCAAAGGGTTTATCAATATTATTTTTCAAAGATCCTTTGCATTTTTTAAAATTCTTAATCTCATTAATTATGTTACTGATTTACTAATTAACATAATTAATGTTGATTATTTCTTATACGAGTTTTGGAATTAGTTTGTTCTTGCTTTTCTAGGGCCTTCAGATGTAACATTAGATTGTTTGTTTGAGATCCTTCTACTTTTCTTTTTTTAATGTAGGAACTCAATGCTATAAACTTTCTGCTTAGAACTACCTTCCTAAAAATCTGTGGTGCAGATTTTTATGTATTAAATCTCTCTTCTTGTTTATTTCTGAACTTTTAAAAAATTTCTTTCCTAATTTCTTCTCTAATTTATTCTTCATTCAAAAGTATATTATTCAATCTCCATGTGTTAACATGGTTTTTGTTCTTTATTTTGTTACTGATTTCTAATTTCATTCCATTAGGAACTGATAAGATGCAAGGAATTATTTTGATTTTTTGGTATTTGCCAGGACTTGTTCTATGCCTAAAAATATAGTTTATTTTGTAGAAGGTTCCATATACTGGTGAAAATAAAGTTAATTCAATAGATGATAGATGAAATGTTCTATAGATATCTTTTAGGTCCACTAAGATCCCTTACTTAATTGTGTCTAGATCACCTATATATTGTAAGAGAGGTGTTTTGAAATCATTCATTATTATTGTGTTGAAGTTTATCTAGGACTTAATGTGTAGTAGTGTTTGGTTACGTAAGTAGGTGCACTGATATTTTGGACATAAAATATTTACATTCATTATGTCTTCTGGTTGGATAGACCCCCTTACCAGCATGATCTTCCTTGTCTCTTATGATTGGGGTTGAAGTCGGCTTGCTTAGATATGAGATTGGCTATTCCTGCTTTCTTTCAGTCTCCATTTGATACTATACCTTTTCCCAACCTTTTACCTTCAGCTTATGTATGTATTTGTAAGGTGAATCTCTTGTAAACAACATATGGTTGGGTCCTCATTTTAATCCATTCTACCAGTCTATGTCTTTTAATTGGAAATTTGAGACCATTTAAATTCAGTGTTATAACAGAGAGATGATTATTTTTTCTGTCATTTTGATTGATTTCTAATGTTTTATTCAGATTTAGCTTTCCTTTAATAAGGTACTCTTCTTATAGGTTTCATTCATTTGCTTTCTTTGAAGATTGGTTTGAATTTCCTCTGTGTGAAATATATTTTTTTAAGTATTTGCTAAAGTGATAGTTTAGTAGTCATGAATTCTTTTAGTTTTGCTTATCATGGAAGTTTTATTGCTCACATCTTCAATTATGAAGGACAACTTTGCTGGATAAAGTAATTTCAGTTGACAATCATTATATTTCAGTGTTTGGTATGTATTATTCCAAGCTCTTCTGGCTTTTAGGATCTGGGCTACTAATCAGAATTGATTCATATTGGTTTGCCTCTAAATGTGACTTACCATTTTTCTCTTGAATCTTTACAAATTCTATGATTGTTCTGTATATATATTTAATTACAATGTGTCTTTATGAGAATCTTTTTTGAGCTTGTTTATTTGGTGTTCTGAATGACTCCTGCACCTGGATATTCATCCAATTCTCAAGGTTTGGAAATTTTTCTTATATAATTTCATGGAAAAGCTTGTGCATGCCCTTAGTTTGTATCTCACTCCCTTCCTCAATGCCAATGATTCTTATATTTGGTCTCTTCATGTTGTCCCATATTTTCTCTTATCATATTTACTTTATTGCTAAGTTTCCAAGGTCATATACCTGGGTCTTTGAGGCCTGAAAAATCTGTCTTCTTCATGGTCTAAACTATTAGTGATATT